GATTGTTGGTGAAATGCAGCTGCATATTGAACCAGCAAAGAATGCTTTGTATAAGCTGGGTTCATCCCAGGTGTGTGCAGGTACAGCATTGACATGTGTGCTAAGAACTCTGGGCCTATAGGGTCCACTTGTTCCTAGTTCCCTTGAAACCCATTAAGGTAACAGTAAAAGAACTAAGCAGGCACAAATGCATCAGGGCCAAGAGAATGGAGGAGGTGGGAACATTGATTCTTTGAACATGTTTACAATAGCTGCTGTATTACTGAATTAAGCATCTGGGTCATCTTAGGGTCAGTTTCTGTTATCTGTTGTTTTTTCCTCTTGACTGTGGTCAGGGATTTCATTTTACTTGGTTACACAACCAACACCAATGGGAACAGCAGTCAAGAAATCAGACATCGGGGACCATAGTCACAGGGGAAATCAAGTTCAATTGGCATAACATACTACACAAAACATTGTTCCACATCCTACTTTGGTGAGTAGTGACTGGGATCTTAAAAGCTTGCAAGCAGCCATCTAGATGCTTGTCCAGAACAAAGAAGAATGAGGAAAACCCAAAGATGCATGGACAGTTGGAGAATGGAGGAGGGAGGAACATTAATTCTTTGAACACGTTTACAATAGCTGCTGTATAACTGAATGCAGCATCAGGGTCATGTACCAGTCCTAGCAACTGATACAGCATGCAATCCTTAGCCTATATGACTATGAGACCAAAAGAACTGGAAGGTGCCCGGCTACCACTGTCAACCACTCGAAGGGAATCCATGTATGAGACCCTGGATGGAGTGGGAGAACAATATGGAACAAAATTCAAATCATAATAAAAAAAAAGGGGGGGCGGACTAGGTTTGCTGGTCTGATAGAGCCTGGTGGAACCCCTGAGACTATGGCCCCTAGCTGCCCTTCAGGTCTGGAATTGAGCTCATTCCTGTGGCTTCCAGCCAAACAAAAGACAGGCATATAAGCTGAACATTTACATTAGGTAGATACACTCTTTGGAGAGATCAATCATGGGAGAACAGAAGGGCTGTGTATGCACAAGGAGACAGTTCAGGGGGCAGGAGTGCATGGAGGGAAGGACACAGGGAAGAGGTAACTATGGGGAGGAAGTGGGAGGGAGCTGTTGCACTGTGGGAAATTGTAGTCAGTGTCATGATACAAAGTGCATGTGAGCTGCTGTATGGAAAGTGAATTTGCTCTGTAAACTTTCACCCAAATTACAATTAAAAAAAAGAAGAAGAAAAGAAGTCAGGCATTGTATTGCACTGGGCAAATCTGCTGCAAAAGACCTCTTTAAAGTCTTAAGGAACAAAGATGTCACTTTGAAGACTAAGGTACGCCTAACCCAAGCCATGGGGTTTTCAATCTCATATGCATGTGAGAGCTGGACTGTGAATAAGGAAGACCTAAGAAGAGTTGATGCCTTTGAATTATGGAGTTGTGAAGAATACGGAAAATACCATGGACTGCCAGAAGAACTAACAAATCTGTCCTGGAAGAAGTGCAGCTGGAATGCTCCTTGGAGGTGAGAATGACCAGACTTCATCTCACCCACTTTGGTCATGTTGTCAGAAGGGACCATTCCCTGGAGAAGGATACCATGCTTGGTAAAGTAGAGCATCAGAGAAAAAGGGAAGGCCCTCAACAAGATGGGTTGACACAATGGCTGCAGTGATGGGCTTGAAGATAGTAAGGCTTGTGGGGCTGGCACAGGACGGGGTAGTGTTTTGTTCTGTTGTACACGGGGTCACTATGAATCAGAGCTGACTCGGCAGCACCCAACAACAATGGTTTGTATTTTCTGTTTCTTTTTAGGTCTTAGGATTTTCTTTAATTTTTATGAATGGTGTATTGTAGAGACCCTGGATAGTTATCTTCCTCTGAAGGGTGTTCATTTTTGTTCCAGTTCAAATACTAGCTAATTACCTTGAACTGAGGCAGGCTTGGTTTGACATTTTGTTAAGGCATGTCTTTGGGAAGCCCAACATGTTTTCCAAACTTTCCTTTCTTGGTGAGATTCAACTTCTAAACTGTATCCCCTGTGGACTGTGTCAGGGCTTGGTTTGAGACTTTGGTAGGTTGGGTCTAGGGTAGGCCTTACTCTATACGTGGTCCTAAGTGTGGCTTTTCTGGAATCTCAGCTGGATGCTGCAGTGTTAGCAAGATTCTTCACTTGGCTCACCTTGACCACTAGTGTATTTGCTGTACTCAGCCCTGGGAAAGCTGCCCCCGTAGCCTTGGGTGGTCTTATGCTGCTCCTGTGGTTGCTTGAATGCCCAGCACAGCCCCTCATGCTGGGGCCTGTCGCACAGATGCGTAGTCACTTAGCTCAGTGGGACGCTGTGCTGCATCTGGGTTCCAGGTCTGTAAGTCTTGTTTGGGAGACTGTCCTGAGGTAGAGGCCTGACGGTCATCCCGTCCATTTCAGGAGTTACTTCCTTCTTAGGAAGCGTAGTCTTTTAAAATTTATTTATTTTGCTGTTGTTAAGACTCTATACGCAGCAAAACACACCAATTCAACAGTTTCTCCATTACAATTCAGTGACACTCTTAGAGTTGTGCAACCGTGTCGCCTGCCTTTCCTGAGTTGTGCCTCCCCCAGTAACATAAACTCACTGCCCCCTAAGGTTCCTGTCTAACCTTTCAAGTTGCTGGTGTCAACTTGATCTCATAGAGACAGTTCTTAAAAGACCATAAAGCCCAAGGCCGACCTTTTCTTCACAAGCTAAACTTCTTAAGAAGAGTTCAGGGGATACTTTTGATTTAAGTTTAAAGATTGTCTTAGGGCAGGAGTTTCAGGGGTTCCTCCAGCTTCCCTGACTCCAGAAAGCCTACATTCCACGGGAATTTGAAACGCTGTTCTGTAATCTTCCCCTTTTGATCAGGATTCTTCTATAGAATCTTTTATCAGAATGCTCAGTAATGGTAACTGGGCACCATCCAGTTCTTCTGGTCTCCTGGCAAAGGGGCAATTGCTCATGGAGGCATCGGCCACACGTTCCATTTCCTTCTTTTTCTGACTCCCCATCTTCCTCTGTTGCTCCAGGTGAACACAGACCGATTGTTGTGACTTGAATGGCTGCTCACAAGTTTTTAAGACCCCAGGAGCTGTGCAAACTAACTAAGAGGTAGAACAGAAGCAGTAAAAATGTTATTAAGCCAGTTAACTGGGTGTCCCCTGAAACATGACCCTAAATCTCCAAACCAAGGGACCGAGCCCCATGAGGTGTTTGATTGTATATAAGCAGCCTCAGTAGCTACTTTTTTTTTTTGGGGTGTGGGGGGGTCGTCATTGTTGTAAATGTGTCTATTCCACAACTTCTGCCAACTCAACCTTTTACAGGTGTGCAACTTATTGGCAGCATTTGCAAGGTGTCTGGGCCACCCTGCCCTTAATCAGTGTGATGCTTCCATCATGGCTCAGTTCTCCTCCCCTCACCTCCCACTCCTAGGAGCCCCAATCAACTCTGCTCTCCGTACATTTGCCTTTGCTGGTCCTTTTCTATAAATGAGGTCATACAATATCTGCCTTTTTGTGATTGGCTTACTTAACTCAGCAGAATGTCGTCATCCACAGCACGGTCAAGACCCATTCCTCCTCCCGGCTGCTCTGCGTTTTATCTGCTTGTCTGTAGGCCCCGCCTTTTGGCTGTTGTGAACGGTGCTGCAGCGAACATTGGTACAGAAGTCTCTGAGTCTCTGCTGTCACATCTTTCGGGTACACATCTAGGAGCGGAATTACCGGGCCATATGGTAGCTGTCTTTTTCACTTTTGGGGACCCACACACTGTTTCCCACAGCAGCTGGACCGTTTTGCATTCCCACCAGCAATGGATAAGGGTCGGGAAGCACTGTCTTGTGCTGCCCGCTTTCAGGGCCCAAAAACAGTTGCCTAAAATACACTGTACAATTCTAGGGTAAGTTTTTATTTGATTCAAATCAAAATTGTATGAGGAAGGGAAAGTAATCATTGTCACCTTGTGACTCAGCTGTGAATAATATTGACGCAGTCGGGACCTCGTGACCCTTCAGCAGTGATTCGACAGGCCATGAGGGTAGAACAGGCTCAGGAGGTTGGGGTGTGCACGAGGTGATGGAGTGAGACGGACAGGCCTTACCTGGCACAAACCACGGTGTCTGAGCAGAAATACGAGGAGACAGCAGTATGAGTGTGCTGTTTAGAGAGATGACAGGAAGGCCCCAAACCAGGAGTTGAAAGAGCCCTGCTGGGTGGGAGACAGGCTTTCCACCTGCATATGGTGTGAGTTATAGATGAAAAGGATCTTATTATAAGTCATCAATCATATAAATAGGTTCAAGGAGGGAAAAAGGTAACCTCCATAAAAGTAGAGAAAAACCCAAATCCACTGCCTCCGATTCTGACCTACAACGCCCCTAGAGGACGGAGTGGAACTGCCCCAGAGGGTCTCTAAGGCTGTCAATCTCCGCGGAAGCAGAGCCCAAACCACACCCACTGGAAGCAAAGCCCAAACCACACCCACTGCTGTGGAGTCAATTCTGACTCAGCGCCCCTAGAGGACAGAGTGAGACTGCCCCACACGGTCTCCTAGGCTGTCAATCTTCATGGAAGCAAACTGCCTCATCTTTCTCCTGCAAAGTAGCTGGTGGGTTCAAACCACCGACCTTTTGGCTACCAGCTGAATGTCTTAACCACTGCACCACCAAAGCTTTTTCAAGGTAGACAGAAGTTCTCCATAACACACACTCTAGTGCACACTGTTAGCACTGGGAGTGAGGACAGTGAATTCGGTGTGGGGGAAGGGCCTGGCTCACTGCCTGTTCCGTCTGATTAGGGCCTGACCTGCCTCCCAAAGTTGGTGCTCTCAGTGGCCTGGTGCCAGAAGAGGACACGGGGGTGCCTGGGGGTGGGCTGCTGCCAGGGCCTGGTTCTCAGTTCTGTGAGCAAGCCTGCAGCCTGATTGTCCCTACCCTCAGTTCTTCACTCCTGGGGCTGGTGTTGTTTCCCTTGAAGGATGGAGCCAGGAGTCCCTGCCGGTGACCCCACCGCTGGTGAGACAGCTGCCTGTGGCCCCGCCTCTGGTGACCCCCCTGCTGGTGAGTACTATTCTCTGTGTGAACCTGTACCCCTCATGATGCCATGAGTGCATCTGGGGCCACGTCTGGTGGAGCCAAGAATATCGGTGCCGGTGTGAGGTCAGGTATGGGGTTTGAGTGTGTGGTCTGGGTATTGGGTCCAAATGTTTGGTTAGGTGTGGGACCAGGTAGGGGGTTGGGTGTGGGGTTCAGATGAGGGGTCAGTTCGTTATGATGGTAGCACCCCCTCTTCTGCCTGCAGGTGAGAAAGGGCTGTCCCCAACTGTGTAGGCTCTGTAGTGACTGCAGACAGGGCCGGGAAGGTTTGGATAGCTTCAGCCCAGGAGGTCTCGCAGGCCTTCATGACACTGCCTTCTTGGGCCCCAGAGCTTGTGGGTGGCCCTGGGATGGGATCTGGGGCTGGGGGTGATGGGTCCCATTGGGTGCCAGCTTCAGGGTCAAGGGCTCTGGTCCCCATGTAAGGGGGTCTAGAGGGTCTTGTGCGCATGCTGGCTCTGAGCACCAGTCCCAGGGGCTCTGCTCTGGGGTGAGATTGTCTGGCACGGGGTGGCTTCCTAGATGAAGGCCTACGCAGGCCCCAAGTTCCTACTCCTTTTGGCACAGCGTGGTGCCCAGCTTGTAGGGCCTCCCAGCAGAAGGGACGGGGCAGAGCCAGGCACTAGGGAAACGCCCTCTGCCTGTGAAGATGTGGGCATGAGCCACAGGAAATGTAACCCAGGGGCCACTCTGAGGGTGTCAGCATGTCCCGCCTTCTGTCCCAAACATCTCTGCGCCCCCCACCCCGGCAGGGATCCTCATCCCCTCCCTGTGGGTTTCAGTCCAAATCCTGCCCATCCTGTAAGTTGAGAGGACCATCTGCACCACTCCTGTAAGTTGAGAGGACCATCTGCACCACCCCTGAGGGAGCAGCACTGAGGCGCTCCTGTGGGCACAGCCACCCATGTGACCAGTGTGCTTTCCAGGCCATGGAGGTGTTACAAGTGGCTGGGCCACCCCATCCCTCCGCCCATCCTGGTGCTGCCTTGATTTAAAAAGAAAACCTTATTCGAGTTGTTTTCCAGATGAGGTGGGACCCTCAAGTCTACCTTGGTAGCCCCCTGGGACCACAAGAAGTTTTGCTTAGAGAGTGTGTTGGGGGCAGGTCAGGGGAGGGGCGAGGAGCCACTGCTAGAACCCAGGATACCCTTCAGCAGGGGCGTGGGATGATGGGGAAACAGAGGCCGGGCAGGAGCTAGAGAATCAGGCCAGGGAATGGTGCCCAGGATGGTGTGTGCCGGGAAAGGCCACACAATTCTGAAGTCCCCGTCCAATGTCCTGTAGTGACATCTCGGAGCACCTGGCTGTGGATTTGTGCACCAGGTGGGGGCAAGCAGGGCCAGGACACGTAGGTGGCCACCAGGGGCAGCAGTGATGAAAGTCTACCCTGTCCCCAGAGCCACCCCACCACGCCTGCCACCTGTGTGGCCACCAGGGTTGCAAGGAGCAGACACACATTGTAGGGAAGGAGAGCTGAAGCCCAGGCACCGTGTCTGTGTATGTGTGTGCATATCTGTGTATGTGTGCATGTATGTGCATGCGTGTGTGCATATGGGTGTATGTGTGTGTGCATGGGAGTGGACGTGTGTGCGTATGTGTGTGCGTATGGGTGTATGTGGTGTGTATGTGTGTGCATGTGTGCAGGTGTGTGTATGTGTGAGTGTGCATGTGTAGGTGTGTATATAGGTCCATGTATTGTGTGCATGGGAGTGTGCATGTGTGCATATGTGCATGTGCGTATGTGTGCGTGCAGGTGTGTGTATGTGTGCGTGGGCATATGGGTGTATGTATGTGTGTCCATGGGAATGTGCGTGTGTGCATGTGTGTGTATGGAGGGTGGTGGAGTTGCTGCGTGTTCTTTGCTGCCCCCACAAGTCCCCTCAGTAGTGAAAGGAGAGCTGAATCCCAGGTACTGTGTGTGTATGTGTGTGTGCATGCATGTGTCTATGCATGCATGTGTATATGTGTGTATGCACGTGTGTGTGCACGTGTGCGTGCACGTGTGTGTGTGTGTGAATGTGTGCATGTGGGGTATGTACGCATGTGTGTATATATGCATATGTATGGATGTGTGTATGTGCGTGTGTGTGTGTGTGTGTGTGTGTGTGTGTGGAGGGCGGTGGGGCTACCGGGTGTTCTGTGCTGCCCCCACAAGTCAGTAGCACTGCCTTGACATAGATATCGTCTTCACCTACCAAGAAGGAAGCAGGGCTGGGACCAAGTGGAAAATAAGGCCCTGGCTGGAGGGTACTGTCATCTGTCAGTGTAGGAGCCAGGACACACTAGCTGCTTCCCTGGGCCCTGGCCAGGGTTGGCCCTGGACTCGTGAGGGGACCTGCCAGGCACAGAAGCCCCCTGGATGGGGGTGACTTCACTTTGAGGGCTGTCGTCTGACCCTCAGGAACGGCCCCAGGATCCCGTCCCCCACTGTTGTTTCAGCCACTGTCTGCACCTGGCACCTGTAGCAGCCTCCAACCCCGGCGGCGGTGTCTGGGGGTTGGCTGCAGCCACCGGGACCAGCTGGAGACTGGAGTGGCAGCCAGGGGGCTGGGGTGAGGGCACTGGTAAACATGGGGGGCACCTTGGAGTCCCTCAGGAAGGCTGATGGAATCCCTGCTTTCCAATTTTTCCCAGGTCAGGGGCACCTGTGAGGGTGGGTAATGCTGACTGCACACCTTCAGCCTGTGCCTGATGAAGGGTGGATGTCAGGCGGGCATCAGGTGGGTCCAGAGGAGCCCGTGGGACAAGCCGATGGGAGCCATATTATTTTTCATCTTAACGAAAGTCCCCTACCTCCAGGCCACTCCCAAGACCACCCCACAGCCTGCCCTCCCAGACTGCCCCTTGCCCCACAATTGCCCCTTCACCAGACTGCCCCCCAGCACCACCCCCACACACCTCCCCCTGTACCGCCCCCCAGCGCCTGTACACTGCCTCCCCATGCACACATACACTCCACCCCCAGGCGGGTGGGCCCCCCTTGCTTCCAGGTAAGGGTTGCTGTAATCTTGTTTCCTTTTTCTTGAAGTTCCACCTCCATCCTTGACCAAGGCCTCCTCCCTATGGTGAGCCCTAGCCACCCTGGGGAAGAACACTGCTGTCCTAACAGGGAGCCCTCTAGAGCTCATTGGTGGCTCCTGGACCATTGGAGTGGGTAGGCAGTGGTCACAGATGGACAGCTGTGGAACTGGACCAGGGAGCGTCTCAGGGCAGACCCTCAAGACCCTGGCCTAGCGGTGCTTACTGGGGAGGGCTCCCCCGGCCTGAGGCCTCGCTGGGGTTGGCTGGGTTGGGGCAGTGGGGGAGTCCCAGGCTGTGTGTATGTGTGCGTGCACGTGCCTTCAGGAGCTGGCAGGTCTGGGGATGGAGACCTTGGACCCCAGCAGGCCGGAGGCAGGGGGATGGAGCCTGGCCCCTCTGGAACCAAGATTGGGCTCCAGGTGGTAAGGGGAGCCCTTCCCTATCCAAGTCCCTCCCAGCTGCAAGAAGGAGGCTCTTCTCCACCCCTGCCCCACCAGGATGGGCAGCCCTGCCGCCAGAACACCACAGCACCATGGGAGCTGAGCCTGGGCTTCCCCGGGGCCTGCGACCTCTCCTGCCTTCCCTGGCACTGAGCTTACACACGGGTCAGAGCTGGGGTTCTTGGAGGGACAGCTGTGTTGGGTGGATAAACAGGCCGAGAGCCTGGCTAGGAAGGCTGGGAGAGGCAATTGCAGGACCTTCCCCTGATGGGTCACTCTGAGCCATGAGTGGGGACTTTTACTGGGGAGAGCCGGGGGTCCCTTCTGAACAGGACTTCTATAACCCAACCAGAGGAAGGCCACAGGGGAACCAGCCTCAGGGTGGCCCTGAACCAGCTGGGTTCGAGGTTTTCTTCCTCCTGAGAATTGGGCTTTTCACAGACGCAGCTGGCTGCGCCTCCGCGGCCTTGGGCTGCTCCGGGTCCTGGAGACACCAGAGCCCACTGGCTGAACCCAGGTCTTGCTGCCAGGGTGAAATCACCCCTTGCTCGAGCCACTCGGGGAGCCTGTCTGCCCTGGCCGGCACCCGCCTCCCTTACCTGCTGCCTTCCCTGCCAGTATCCCCTGGGCGGGTCTGGGGGAGCACCCCCACTGCTCCTGAAGGGCCGTGAGAAGGCGCCCGCCTGAGCGACTCAAGACCAGCAGTGCCGGGATCGCCCCTGACCCCCTCAGCACCACGGACTGGAGGGGCTCGTGGGAAGGAGCAGTGCCGAGGGGCCCAGGACTCTGCTCATGTTGAAAGCGCCCACGCCCTGCGGGTGGCATGCTCCTGCTCCAGAGAGGCTGGCGATGCGCCCTGATGCACCCTTGTGATGGGGACCGGGCTAACGAAGGGGACCGGCCAGTGGGCGATGTTGCAGCTGCCTCTCAGGGGTCTCCCACAGGGTGAGGGCCCCCACACCCCAGCCACTCCTCAGCAAGCCCTTGCTGCCCTCTCATGGTGCCCCCACTGCAGCCCCCAGCCTTTCCCCCCATGGCGGGCTTTTCTTTGTGGGGAATTGCTCTTTCACAGCCCTTGCCGTGCAGCTGGGGGTCTTGTCGCATGGATTTATGATGATGTCAGCTGCCGTGCAGCTGGCCCCCACTCATGCTCCCCACGCGCAAGGGAAGGAAACACTGCCTGGCCCTTCACCCCCACAGTCTGTGGCGACCCACAGTGTTTTCCTGGCCCTTCACCCCGCCCAGTCCGTCGAGATCCACAGTGGTTTTTCCTTGGCACATTTTTGGAAGATGACTAGGCTCATCTTCCTGGTTTGTCTTAGTCTGGAAGCTCCACTGAAACCTTTTGGGCACCATCGCAACACACAAGCCTCCAGTGGGGGGGGGGGGGCCCGGAGGCTTCCACAGGGAAGAGAGAATTCCGCCCCAGCCAGCACTGCCTGGTCCACGGCAGGTTGTTAATGAGCCTTCCTCCAATCCTGATGCCGGGCTCTTCTTCATAAA